ATCGTGCGGGCGACAGCAGCAAGCGGCCCGAGCTGGCCTGGGTCTATGTCGGCAGCCACAATCTCAGCAAAGTGAGTGAGCCGACAAACAGTGACACATCTGTGGTTCCTCTCGGACGATCCTCATGTGTGTTGTGTGCCACACACATGCAGGCGGCGTGGGGCGAGCTGCAGGAAAACGACTCGAAGCTGTCCATCCGGTCATATGAGCTGGGCATCCTCATCTCACCACACACACTCCGCGGCCTCACCCCGCCCCCACCACACACCACACGCCACACACAGCTGGCCGGCTCATCGTCATCCAGCAGCAGCAGCGGTGCCGCCACGCAGATGCGGTCATTCATGTGGCGCAAACGCGATGGCACAGGTCGGACGACACAGACAGACAGGACACATGCAGCCCGCATCCACGCGTCTTGTGTGGGTGATGGGCTGTGTGCACTGCAGGGTCCTCTCCCCTGCCCCGCCTCTACGCGGCCACTTCTCGGTGCCCGAGCGGTCCACCTGATGTGCCGCTGATCGGTGTGCCTCTGCCCTATCCCCTGCCGCCGGTGCCCTACGGCCATTGCCACGTGGTGTGGACGACAGACGGCGCACACACTGGGCCGGACAGCCTTGGCAAGGAGGCAGGGGGTGAGAGTGCGCAGGGCACTTCCTCGCGGGCCGACTTCTGATGTGGAGTGTGAGCGGGGGAAAGGGAGTTGTGGGTTGGTGTAGATAGATACAGTACACGATAGCCTTCTCGTCGATGTGTGCGCACCGACTGGAACTCATGCAAATGCCCTCATGAATGCATTGGAACGTAACTTAAAGGCAGGCAGGCAGGCAGGCATGAACACACACACACACACGCACACGCACGCACACACACACAGAGAGAGAGAGAGAGAGGGGCACATGCGCAGTGCACGCCCCCTCCCTCCCTCCCTCCCTCTCTGCACACACAGCCCCCCCCCACTGCGCACATCCGTGTGTGGCAAGGTGCCTGCCTGCGTGCTGCGCACTCCTGCACCACCGCATTCACGAAATTCACAAACCCTACACAGCATAATTAGGGTTTAGGGTGTGGGGTTCCAAACAATGCAAGCTTAGAAGTGCTGGGGGGAAAGGCACAGACCGCACAAACCGCGGCAGGCAGATCTCCGCAGAGAGGCTCACAGGAAGGCCATACACGCAGCCAGGAGCAGCCAGAAGGACAAGTAAGCTGACATATCTCTCTGTTTCTTTGTCTGTCTGTGTGTGCAGGTCGAGATGGCGTGCTGCGCCAAGACTCCGAGGCTCAATTTGGATGCCAGAGGATTGCTCTCGATGAAGGCTGTGCTATGCGCCGACCAATCGGCCTCTGCGGAACTTCTCGCTGACCCCTCAATGCCTCTCCCATTTTTGTCCATCTCTGCAGGCCCGTGTTTGGCTCTGTGGGTGCGGCCCGGTCCATCCGACGCATGCTTCAGGTGCATCAGCTCATGGGCGACACAGGTGCCAAAGGAGAGGGCAGCAGCACACACACAGCCAGAGCACCGACGCTGGCGGGATTTTCACCTTTCTGACTGTAGGGTTACCCTTGTCGAGTGTCTGCAGCCCCACAGAGACCTGATAGAC